ATGTCTTGAAATTCTCAGCTAAATCACCATAAAGTTCTACCATATCTGCTTCTTTTAAAATTTCTGTCATTTTATTGCGCAAAATTGTGTATGATACAGCTAACCCTTGCTTTCTTTGTTCAATAACCCAATTATATAATTTTTTCTCAGCTTCAGGAAAAAAAGGTTTTCGCCCAGAACCAACCCGCTTGCTTTTTTCCTTTATTTCAGCTGTCCAGCTTGAACTAGCTTTTACCCAACGTCCAACCATACTGCGATTAACATTATAATGTTCTGCTGCTTTATTATTTCCCTTCTCTTTTGCATATGTAACAACCTGTATCTTCTGTTCTACAGAATATGAAGTTCGTTTTCGTTTAACAACTTGTCTAACCTTATGTTTAACGGTTTGTTTTATTTTGGGCATTTTGTATACAATTTATGTTGCACTTTGGCGTAGTAAAGCAAGTTTAAAACAAGTTCGCGTATTTCGTGTTGAGATAAATAGATGATCTACAATCACAGAATTTGTGTTGATCAAATTTCGGATTTTTAATTTTGCATTTTTCTTCGAAGATTCATAAACTACCCGAAAATAAGCAACACTATAACAAAAATATGTTGCTTATTTTCGGAAGAATACGGTAATATTTCTATTACTTGATATTATTCTTTAATAAATTATATTTAATATTAAAATTATGAATATAAAATTAGAAAAAAAGTATACTTTATTTTTTATAATATTGAGATTATTACAAAATTATTTTATAAATACATTTTAAATTAAAATTTTAATAGAAATATAATAATAAAAATTTATTATTTTAATTTAAAAATTTTTATAATACAAATAGTCTAAAGTTACTACTTTTTTATTTTGTAACCAAATTTTTTATCTTATATTATTATTATGTAGAATATTTTTATAATTTATAATCATATGATTTACATTATTATAATTATTTAATTATTTTTATAATATAAATAATTTAAAATTACCACTAAAAAGAATTGTAAATTAATATATAATAAAAAAAAATTAGAAATATGTATTTAATATAATAATTGTTTATTTTAAGATTATTTTATATTAAAATCAAAAAAAGTAATTTTGATTTAAATTTTTTAATCTAATAGATAATTTCTATAATTCAACCAACTTTATAATAGCCAAATACATATTATATTTAATAAATTATTTTAACTTTAATTTTATCTAATGTTATGATTTGTTTAACAAAATAAAGGTTTTATTATATGAAGATAATGATTTAATCTATTATTTGAGTTTATTTAAAAAAGCTTATTAATTGATCACTTCTATTATTTTAAAGTTATATAACAAAAGTAATAACTTTAAATTATTTGCATCATATTTAAAAACTTTTCTATATTAAATATATATTTTAACTAATAATTATAAAAGGATTAATACTTTTGAAAATTTTAATTATATATATAAATATAATTAATATTTATAAAATCAAATAAAAAGATTAGAAGAAATGTAATACAAATTAAAATATGAATATATAATATATTATATATAAAATATGTAAATATATTAAAATTTTTTATATTATATTTATGATAAATTCTTTTATTTAAATTACAATTATTTAACTTCAAATTAATTACTAATAGAAAAAAAATAATAATAATAATAAATTAAAAAATTATATTATTTAAAAATAAATGAATTAATTTAATATTAATTTAGTAAATTCATTATCAAACAATTTTAATTATTTTAATAAAATATAATATTTAAAGATAATAATATAAAAGTTGATAATAAAGAGATTACAAACAATATTACTAAAATGAAAATTTCTATTAAAGATCTATTAAATACTAAAGAAATGTAAAAAAATAATATTGATAATATGTTGCTTTATTATTAGAAATTTCTAGTGATAAAGGATTATGGCTACTTATTAAATTCATATTATAAGAATTAAAATAAATAAAATAATTTAAAGACTTTACAATAAATTTGATAAGCTAGGTTTAATAATTCAAATAAGTTAATATCAGTAATGATAGTAGCATAGTTAAGGTTATTAGATGAAACTTAGAGGTTTTGCAAGTCGTTTAAATAGAAAAGGTAAAATTTAACTAAATTATATTAAAATCTTATTAAAAAATCTGCAAAATTCTGAAAAAGGTAAATTATATCAAAGCTTATAAAAATGCGAAATTATATCAAAACCTTAGTAAAAATTTAGCAAAACTATAGTTTAAATATTTTACAAATCTAAAATAAATTTAGATAAGCAATCTTAAGCATAGCTGTTTATTTAATTCTTTTAAGAATTTTATAAAGAAAATATCATTAGTATTATCAAAATAAGAATAAAATCCATAATAATTGATGAAGTTATTAATAATTTTTTAATACAATTGCATTTGAAACAAAAGATCCATTAGATTGATGATATATTTGTATAAAAATTTTTCAAACTTAATACAGATTACCTATAAATATCTTGGATCTTAGCTATATCTATTTTAAGTAAAGATTATTTTTTCATATTATTCTTTAATTTATAAAGAAATCATTTGAAATACAAGTTTATTTTATTAGATGATTTTAAAGAAAAACATTCGTTTTATAGAAGTTTTTGCAAAAGAGTGGAGAATGTTAATTATACTAAATATAAATACCGTATAGTCCCGAAAATAGCATCCCGCGACATGCTCCTTTTATAGTAATTTATTTATTTGTCACATGGAATTTATTATATTATTAGTCACGTATATACTGATAAATTCATATATATAACGTGGTGCTTATTTTCGGGATTATACGGTACTTAATTGATGACAATTTTTTTTTAAAATTTTATCGGATGATCCGTTAAAATTCGGATTAGGATATACCCTAAATTAATAACAAATTAGGATAATTGATTAATCCTAAATTAAGGATCCGTAATCATCTCCGGATTACAATCCGGACTGGTTAAAGAGATTAGGATTGGCTCTTTAGAAATAGGATCACTTGAATATTGCATAATTTTTAAACTTTAAAAAAATACGAATATTAAAAGTTTACTTTTTGTTCGTTGTATTATATAATAAACCGAATTCCAAATTTATAGTTATTTAATTAGAATAATAAAATTTTTGAATTACTGGCTTTTTGTTATTAATTAAAAAAACAAATTTGGGATAATATAAATAATTTTCATGAACCAATAAAATATAAGGATAGTGTCTCACCTGAAATTTCAATAAAATGTATTAAAAAGATATAAATTACGATATTGTTTGACCTTTTTCGCATAGAATTTTTTTTTTTATTAATATTTGAGAAATTAAAATATTAAAGAAAAAATTTGAACCCTTTGACCTTATCCTGAAACATCAACGAACATTACTTATCCTTTTAACCTTTCCTTTAAAAATACACAAAATGTCTGAATTCGCTGAGAGGATAGCCGCAGCTCGTAAAGAAGCAGAAACTTTAAAAGAAAAAATTAAGATGAGAAAAGATACATTGGCTGACACATCCCGTATGTACTTATAGATTGATTAAAGTTTGTTATTTATAGTTGAGCTATTTTAAGTCTTATTCAAAGATAATTTGTTTATTTGAGTACTTTATATATATACGAAGAGGAATATTTTTAATGAAATCTGTCGAAAAAAGTTTGTAAGAAGTGAAAATGCGAATAAACATAAGATTTATTTATTAGATTTAAAGAATAACTTAGAAGTAATTGATAATTGTTGAAACAAATTAAAATTGCGGATTTTAATTATCTTAGTTTAGCTTTAGTTTTAACAAATTTCTATCAAAAAGAAAAAATTTATCTCATGAATTATTATTTTTTACAGTGAGAACAATGGCCGCTGAAATTGATCCTTTACCAAGAATTGTAATGAAAGTTCGTCGTACTCTCAAAGGGCATCTTGCGAAAATCTATGCAATGCATTGGGCTTCGGATAAACGGCATTTAGTGTCCGCTTCACAAGACGGTAAACTCATCGTCTGGGATGCTCCTACAACGAATAAAGTTCACGCAATCCCTCTTAGATCCTCATGGGTTATGACATGTGCCTATGCACCATCCGGCGCTTTTGTCGCTTGTGGTGGTTTGGACAATATTTGTTCTATCTATAACCTAAAGACAAAAGAAGGTTCCGTTAAAGTTGCTCGAGAATTAAGCGCTCACACTGGCTACTTATCTTGCTGTCGGTTTCTTAATGACAGGCAAATTTTAACATCATCAGGGGATATGTCTTGTATTCTTTGGGATATCGATGCTGGAATGAAACTTTTAGAATTCAATGATCATTCTGGTGACGTAATGAGGTATTTCCAAACTCGCACGCCTATTTTATAATCTAAGAATCAATGAATGTTAAATATTGAATTTATTTTAGTTTATCTCTTGCACCTAATCAGCAAATTTTTGTATCTGGAGCCTGTGATGCTGCAGCTAAAGTTTGGGATATCCGAACTGGTCGCTGTGTACAAACATTTACTGGTCATGAGTCAGATATTAACGCTGTACAGTAAGTAATCGAGATTTTTTAAATAATTTAATTATTATTTTTTTAAAAAAAGTTTTAAAATTTTTTTTTCTTTCATTTCTTAGGTTCTTCCCTAATGGCGATGCGTTTGGAACTGGCTCTGATGATGCTTCTTGTCGATTGTTTGATTTACGTGCTGACAGAGAATTAAATCAATATACACATGATAATATTCTTTGTGGTATCACTTCTGTTGCCTTTTCGATTTCTGGTCGTCTTCTTTTTGCAGGTTACGATGATTTCAATTGCAATGTTTGGGACACATTGAAAGGTGAACGTGTAGGAGTTTTAGCAGCACACGAAAATCGTGTTAGTTGTTTAGGTGTATCAAGTGATGGTATGGCTTTGTGTACGGGTAGTTGGGATTCATTATTAAAGGTAAATTACAATATATTATTATTTTTTATTTTTATTTTATTGATGTTAATAATAAATATTTCATTAAATAAATAGGTTTGGGCTTAGGGCAATAGTTTTACATATAACATAATCTATTTTCATTGGATCGAATATTGATTGATTAATTTGCCTTATGAAAAATTTCTCGAAAAAGATAGCACATACCTTTATATAACTTAATTCTTAAAGCATAATTGTATTAACTCCTATATTATCCATTGATTTATTTATGGTCTTATTTGCTTACTCTATTTATGCCTTTTTAGTTAATCTTTTAAATGTTTTAGTATGTACAGACTTTTTAAATTTTTTTTCTTCTTTGTAACACCAATTTAGTATCAGTGTTTTTTTTTAGTCTAAATTATAATTCACGTTTCATATCTTTACATCTTATATTAATATATATATATATTTTTTTTTATTTTAAACAATTTTTATTCCTAGATGTATTTTGGTCAGCAGCATTCAAATTTTTGTTCTTTACAATTTAGTTAATATCTTTATCTTTATATATTTTGAAATGAATCCAAAAGAAAAAAGAAAATTTTTGTTATAAGCTTTGTTATTATAACTTCTTTATATTGCTCTTTTATTTTTTAATAATCCGATTATGGTATTCAATTTGTTATTAGAGTATTTAACTATTTGTTCGATTATACATATACATATACATATATATTCTAACTGAAAATTCAATTTTATTTAAATTACCAAAATTATTTTATATTATTTATTATTTATTACATATTAAAAATTATTTATTATAATAATAATTATTTGATATTTTGAAAATTTAAAACTATTTTAACTATTTGAAAATAATCGAAATTGTTAGCTAATTAGATTTCATTTAGTAAGATTTTGTTTGAATTAGGAATGCTGATTTTAAATTCATTCTTATAATAGTGACGCGCGTACGTTTAATCTATATGTTTAACGATGATGACGTATTTAGTATCGTTACCTATTAAATTTTTTTGATTCTTAATTAAAAATTTCTGAAAAAAAAATAAATTATGATTATTCTTTTAAAATTTATACTTCTTTGTTTCCTAAGAATTAATCATCCTGCGAATTTGCGTAACCTGTCAGACTTTTGATTACTTATAGATGGTATTTACAAAAAAATTATGTCCAAATCACCAAGTGTCTTAATAATAACCTTTGATTCATTCTTATCGTTGTAAGAAGAAATATTTTAAATATTATATGTTTCTTTTTACTCTTTTTTACCCTTTTGTTTCTGCTTAGTATTATTATTATTAGCATTAATATTAATCTTATCCCATGTCTTGTCTACATCAGTTTGTATCCCAACTTCATATTTGTGAACGAAACAATTCGGGTTGACAAATTTCTCCGTATATTCGTTATACACCTCGTTGAATATTATTTGTTTATCTTTGATAAGAGATTGATATAATTTAACGAGGATCTTCAACTGTGTCAAAACAAAAAAAAAGAAAAGAAAATTTAAAATTAGATAGAACGGAGTAAATAAACAAAAATCCCATTATTATTTATTACCTGAACTCCAATGGAGATTGCCGCAAACGAAAGATAAAAAAAGTTTTCTCCATTCAAATAATGAAGAATCAAA